TATCTATCTATCTATCTATCTATCTATCTATCTATCTATCTATCTATCTATCTATCTATCTATCTATCTATCTATCTATCTATCTATCTATCTATCTCTGTCTACGTGTGTCTGTCTTTCCGTCCATCCATCCATCCATCCACCCATCCATCCATCATCCATCCATAAAACCTTCATCCATCCATCATCCATCCATCATTCATTCATCCATCCATCCATCACTCATTTATCCATTCATCATCCATCCATCCATCATCCATCCATCCATCAAACCTTCATCCATCCATCCATTCCTCCATCATCCATCCATCCATCCATCTTTCATCAATATCATCCATCCATCCATCCATCCATCCATCATTTATCCATCATCCATCCATAAAACCTTCTTGCATCCATCCATCCATCAAACCTTCATCCATCCATCCACCCCTCCATTCCTCCATCCCATGTTCCTGACGGTGGTGTTTGATTTGCTGTTAGCTGAGGGCCTCTGGCCCGGGTGGGTGGGACTCACCCCGAATGGCTCAGTGAAGGCCCTGGACCCGCTGTAGAGCGGGTTGGGGATGGAAACCAGCGTGGGCTTCCCCCCCCCGCCGCCCGTTGCCATGGCGTCCTCGTCCTCGTTCTGCGAACGAATCAAACAAACCGAACAAACGCTGGCGTCTTAAAAAGGCTTATGTCACCACTCGATCCCTCCGGTCATCAGTGGACTGTGGTCCAGCACAATGTTTTTCAACCTTTTTTGAGCCAAGGTACGTTTTTTCATTGAAAAAATCTCGAGGCACACCACCAACCAAAAATGTCAAACAAATCTGTATCCGCCTATAGTAACACTATAGTTATTCTGATTTTATTCTTATCGTATCTTAAGTGTCTTGAATAGGAATCAAATAAACACAAAAATGTATTTTTATCATATTCTATATTTCTTCCTTCAAATTGCTCTTAACATGTCCACTTCATTATACAAAATTATAAACAAAATCTAGTCATAAGGAATTATTACGTGATTACTCCACCAGTCACTAGAACAGCACAGACACTCAAAAATGGCATAATATTTGCAGATTTAATTCCTTATCAAAAAATCTTTTTAGACCAATGAGGTGAAATAGGAGGATTTTCTACGGCACACTAGTGTACCGAGGCACAGTGGTTGAAAAACACTAGTCTAGCAGAGCCTTCACCAGCTTAAGACCATCCAGACTGTTTAATGTGTCGATCCAAGATGGAGGAACGACTTAACAAGCTACAAGAACAGCAGAGTCCCTGTCTGTCTTCAGAAACTCTTGAAGACCCCCCTCTTCAAAGAGCATCTCCTATCCTATTCTTAACCCGTACCTCTACCCCCCCACAGCTCCTTTTGTAGTCCCTCTACCTCTATCTCTATCTCACCACTGACTCTGATCAGTGTTTCTCCTCTATATAGCTTATTGTCATAGTGATGATAAATGTAATATTGTGTCTACTCTGTAAGTCGCTTTGGATAAAAGCGTCTGCCAAATGCATAAACATAAACATAAACATAATGCCAGGTGTCCCTGAAGTTTTAGTGGAAAAGAAAGA